TACTGGGAGTTTCCCTAGGGTGTAATCTATAACTTCTTTCATATCACATGACAAAGAAGGAGAGGAAATCAAGTCTAGAGGGATGACCTCAGTACCGCCAAAAAACTACCACTAGGAGTGAAGTGGGTCTGTTTGGATCCAGGACCCTGCTGTTGGAAGCTTATAGACACAGGGAAATATGAAGACACATAACGATCTCCAAAGACTACTGGGCTTAGAGATGCTGAAAGTGGCATAGACCTTCCTCCAGAACTGGGAGAGAGATAAACCCTCTCTTAGGACTAATACCCTCCTAAATCGTGAGATAATGAAATGTTTGTTAAAGTAATCCACGTGTGGTATCTCTATTATAGCAACACTCATTGACTAAGACAGTAATCAATCCATCAACTTTCCAGTGTCTCTTAAATGGATTACAATGTTTTATGCAGGAATTTGTTGTAGCTCATGTTAACTCCATGCACAATGGAATAAAACATAGCCTGGTCTGAATTCATTCCAGTGATTGGCTGCAAGTCAAACTACTGTGCAACATAAAGTTTTCACTCACTTTTTTTTTTAGCTTGATAGGGCTTGCTTCCTAGTTTGTCTTGTTGATGTTGTTGTTGTTATGTTCTATCAAGTCACCTACAACCCATAGCAATGTTATGTACAGTGGCTGGGAAGCCTGTCCTGTCCTGAGCCAGTCTCACTGATTCTGACACACCTTCTCTCATTGCCCCAGTTACTATGTCAATCTATCTCATCCCAGGTCTTCCTCTTCTGTGCTGTCCTTCCACCCTTCTGAGCATGATGTCCTTCACAAAGGACCTATACCTTCCGGGCCATGTGCCAAAAGTATGTGAGAGGGAGCTTCAAAATTCTAGCTCTAAGAAGAAACTTGGTTTAGCCCACCTTTGGTGGTCCATGGTATGTTCAAAACTCTTCTCCAGCACCACAACTCAAAGGCATCGATTCTTCTGTCATCCTTAGCCATTGTCCAGCACTCTGATGCATAGCAAGTAATTGCAAAGGCCATGGCCTTGATTAGGTGCACTTTCATCTCTAGACTGACATCGCTGCTTTTCAGTACTCTGGAGAGATCCTTGATAGCAGTTTTTCCAGTGTAATTTTTCTATTGATTCCCGACTGCTGGTTCTAAGAGTGTGGTCTTAGGCTGGACACTTTCCTGAAGTCTTTTGAACACCACAGTGATCAAAATACCTCCACTGACAAATGGATTGTGTCTCTACATAAAGTGCATGTCCCAGAAATAGAACTTGAATCTCCTACACATAAAGTGAGAATTCTATCACATACCAACTGGAGTATTGATGGTGCTGCTTGGCTTCTTATTCTTCTTCGTATTAGAAGTGTGTACACAACCATGGCAGCACTCAACACTATGACAACAAAGACAACTGACAACAAAGAGAGGAAAAATCTATTTCTTTGATATTTTTAGAGGATGCATTCCATTCTGGGGGCATTCCATTGAGTTTGGAACAGCCTTCATGCCCAAAATTTGAGCACAGTCCGGGAAGGCTGAGGTAGGTGTGGAACCAGGAGGAGAAATCATGCTATTGGTGGTACAAGTGTGTCATCCAGGGCTGATATGGACTCTTTCTGCTTCATCATCGAGCAACCTTGGGCTAAATCCCAAGGTCAACATTTCTCTAGCCAGAGTGCTGCATCCACTCTGTGTTCAGAAAAGTGGGTCAAAAGTGCAGTCAAAGAGAGGAGCCATAAAGACAAATATACCTTCCTGATAGCAGTTGTGCAGGTGGCTCAGGTGAGTGTGGAAGAGGGTGAGGCGTGGGTCTTCACTGGAGGGTCTGAGCGTAATTAGAGCTCAGAACCATCCTAGAGCAATGAACTACTCACGCTGCACACCAGCAAGGATAGAACCCCAGAAAGGTCTGGATGAGAGGTCCAGAGACCCCAGCCATTATGAAAGGGTCAAGAGGAGTAGTCACTTTCCAGTCCAGCCTGGATGGATGCAGAAAGAGGGAGCAGTCAGCACCTGATATTTACGGCCGCACACAACCATGTGAGAGGCTCTAATCTCTAGACTCCCCACGATCCACCCCATAATCTCTAGGTAGGAAATTACCCAAACGAAAAGGGAACTTCAGGAAGCAAGCTGTGCCAGCTAGGTTTCAATCACATTATTAGCTGTAACTCTTACAGGCCTGCAGAGGAGTCCACATGGACTGTGATTCAGATAAGTCAGTGGCCCCTACAGCTGGTCATTGGGGAAGGCAGAGGTGGGCAAAACAGCAACTCAAGACCTCAGAGACAGCATAGAGATAACTAAGCAGTGTCTAACTTGGACTGGGGAGGAGGGGGGAAGAAGCACCAGACACAGGACAGAGCTAGCTGGGACTGAGGTAGACATAGAGAGGATCAGGACAGTTGTATCTGACCTGAAGGCACAGGCATAGAGCTGACTCAGCAATAGGGGAGGGGTTTCCTAGCAGTCAAAGGGCCCAGCCAGATCTGTGGACCAGTAGAAATCCCAAGGGAGGATCAGAGGAGGTGGTTTTGGGCATCCAGGACAGGTCAAAGTAACCACACCTGTACACAAGCAGAGGACCAGGATGAGCCCAGAGCAGCAGAGTGGACTTCTGAAGGAACATGTCCTGTGGTCAAGAATGAGGGCTCAAGCCCCTGTAAACCGATGTAGAGCTTTGAGAGATGAAACAAGCCATCATTAGGTGAGTGGATGAGGGGTTAAAATTAGAGTTGAAGAGGACATAGACAGTTTATGAGAGCCAAGTAGGAGATCATCTGGGAGGGAACTAATGGCAGAGGATGGGGGAGGAGGCTGTGAGAGAGTGATCCTACCTGCTATTAGCTGGAGGCTAGGGTTGGACTAGAGGCTACTGGTTAGCACCTAGGGATGCTAGAACTGGGAACTAGGATCTGGATACTAGGGTAAGTGGCTAGATGCTGAAATCTGGGACCTAGGGATCTGGTATTTGAGGTAGGATGGTGAAAATGAATGGCAAGCTAGGAACTGGAGTTAGTGATGAGTTAGGTGCTGGAAGTAGGAGTTGGGAGCAAACCACTGAGAGCTTGAGACTAGAAACTGGAATTTGTGAATTGGAAGCCAGGAGCTCTGAGTTGGGAAATGAGAGTTGTAAGTTGGGAACTAAGAATTAGAAGGTAGGAGCTCAGAGCATCCTGAGCTAGAAGCTGGGAACTAGGAACTGAGAATTGAGAGCTAGGATATGTGAAATGAGAACTGATATGGGATCTTGAACTGGCAGCTAGCACCAAAGATCTGGGACCTGTAACCTAGGAGCTGGGAATTAGGAGTTAAGAATAACTAGCTGTGATCTGTGAGTTATTACTTGGGAACTGAGGGATAGGGTACATAAACTGGAAGTTGTGAACAGAAGTGGGGAGGTGGTTCACATTAGGACCTAGAAGCTGAAACTAGAATTGGGAGCTAGAAGCTGACAGCTCAAAGCTAGGAGCCGGGAGCTAGAAGCTGGGAGCTGAGACTAGGGGCTGGGAACTAGAGCTGACAGCTAGATCTAGGAGCTGGAAGCTAGGAGCTGAGAGTTGGAAGCTGAGAGACAGGAGTTGGGAATAGGGATCTATGACTTTGGGAGGTAGGAGTTGAAAGCTGAGAGTTAGGAGCTGGGAGCTAAGAGCTGGGAGAGGGCTAGGAGTAGGGAGATGGGAGCTAAGAGGTAGTAGCTGGGAACAAGGAGCAGGAAGTTAACTGGTACCTGGGAGCTTGGAAGTGGAAGCTAGGAGCTTGGACCTAGGAGCTGAGAGGTAGTAACTGCAAGATGGAAAATAGGAGTTCTGGGCTGGCACTAGGAGCTAGGAGCTGGGGCACAAGAATGTAAGAGCTGGGATGCAGTACCTGGGAACTTGGAGCTGAAACCTGAGAGCTAGGAGTGGGGAGCTGGATGGTATGAGGTAGTAGCTGGGATCTAGGAGCTGGGAGGTAATACCGGTGAACTAGGTGCTAGCAGCTGGGGGTGTCGGATCTGAAAGCTAGGCTCTGGGAGCTAGGAGCTTGGAGTTAACTGGGAGCTGGGAGCTAGAAGCTGGGAGGTAGTACCTGGGAACTAGGGGTGAGGAGCTGGAAGATAAAAGCTAAGACCCAGAAGCTGGGAAGTGGTAAGTGGGAGCTAGAAGCTAGGAGGTAGGAGCTGGGAGCTAGAATCTAGGAGCTAGGAGGTAGGAGATGGGAGCTAGAAGCTGGGAGGTAGGAGATTGGAGCTAGGAGATGAGAGCTAGGAGCTGGGAACTAGGCATCAGGATCTGGGAGGTAAGAGCTATAGGACCTAGAAGCTGGGAGGTAGTAACTGGGAGCTAGAAGCTGGTATGTAGGAGCTGAGAGCTAGGAACTGGGAGATAATAGGTAGGAGCTGCAAACTAAGAGCTAGGCACTGGGAGGTAATAGCTGGGAGCTCAGAACTAGAAACTCTGAGCCAGGAGCTAGAAGCTGGAAGGCAGTAGCTGAGATCTAGGAGCTGGAAAGTGGGAGGTAGTAGCTAGGAGCTGGAGCTCAGAGCTAGGAGCTGTGATGGGAGGTAGTACCTGGAAGCTAGGAACTGGGAACTGGAAGCTAAGAGCTTGGATCTGGGAGCTGAGAGCTGGGGCCTAAGAACTGGGAGCTGGGAACTAGTACCTGGGAGCAGAGAGCTAGGAGCTGGGATCTAGGAGCTGGGAGTTGGGATTCAGAAGCTAGGAGCTGGGAACAAGGAGCTTGATGTTAGTAGCTGGAAGCTAGGATCTAGGAACTGGGAGAAGAGGCTGAAAGCTAGAAGCTAGGACCTGGGAGAGATGGCAGCTAGGAGCTGAGAAATGGGGGCTGAGATATAGGAGCTGGGAGCTTGGAACTAGGAGCTAAGATCTGGGATCTAGGAGTTGGGAGCCAGGATGTGAGATCTGGGAACTGGAGCTAGGAGCTGGGAGGTAGTAAGTAGCTGGGAACTCAGAGCTCAGAGCCAAGATCTAGGATCTGGGAGCCAGGAACTAGGGTCATTTCTGAGAGCTAGGAGCTAGATCTGGGAGCTAAAAGCTAAGAGATAGGAGCTGGTTGCTGGGAACTAGGAGCTAGTAATTGGGAGCTGAGAGCTGATAAATAGAAGCTAGTACCTGGGAGGTAGTAGCTAGGAGCTGGGAACTAAGAACTGAGAGCTAGGAGCTGGTAACTAGGAGCTAGAAGCTGGGAGCTGAGAGCTAAAAGCTAGAAGCTAGGAGCTGGGAGGTAGTAGCTAGGAGCTTTGAGGTTGCTACTAAGCTAGGAGTTCGGACTTTAGAACTAGGAGCTGGGAGCTGGGAAGTAGGAGCTGGGAGATAGTACCTGGGAACCAGGAGCTGGGAACTGAGATCTAGAAGCTGGGAGAGGGTGATAGCAACTGGGAGCTAGGAGCTGACAGCTGACAGTTGAGAGCTGGGAGCTGGTAGATAGTAGATGGGAGGTAGGAGCTGGGAGCTAAAAACTGGGAAGTAGGAGCTGAGAGCTGGGAGCTAGGAGCTAGAAGCTGGGAACTTAGAGCTGAAAAGCTGGGCCCTAGGAGCTGGGAGCTGGGAGCTGGGAGCTGGGAGCTAGGAGCTGGGTGCTTTGAGCTGGGAGCTGGGAGCTGGGAGCTGGGAGCTTTGAGCTGGGAGCTGGGAGCTTGGAGCTGGGAGCTTGGAGCTGGGAGCTGGGAGCTGGGAGCTAGGAGCTAGTAGCTGGGAGCGTGGAGATGGAGCTGGGATCTGGGAGCTGGGAGATTGGAGATCCAGCTAGGAGCTGAGAGTAGGAACCTAGTTGCTAGAATTAGGTGCTAGTAGAGCTGTGTTTTTGAGATTGTAACTGAGAATTTGTGACAATCTGGGTCCTGGCTTTAGGAGCTGGGAGCTGGAGAATAGAGCTAGTTGCTAGAATTAGGTGTTAGTAGAGCTGTGTTTTGAAATAGTAACAGAATTTGTGGCAGGCCGGGACCTGGGCTTTGGGAGGTTGAGGTTGGGATCTTGGGGCTGAAGCTTAGAGCTAAGAGCTGTAAGGTAAGCACTGGAATGTAGGTGCTAGGAGCTAGAAACAGAAGGTTTTATATTAGCAACTGGATTTTAGGAGACCTGGGCTCCAAGCTGACGGCTAAGAGCTGGAAAGCTTGAACATGAGCATCAGCTGATAGCAGAAAGCTGTGAGTTAGAGGAACAGACTGGAGCACATGAAGCTATAGCTAGAGACCTAAAACTGAGATTGGGCTGGTGGGCAGGTGAAGCGAGCTAAGAAGTAGGCGCCAAGGTCTGAGAGCTGAGACTAGTGGACTACTGCTGGGAGCTGAGGGTTTGATGCTTGAACTAGGTTTGAGGACTGGCTTCTAGGAACTGGCTACTAACAGGTCTGTCAGCAAGGAGTCGAAGGCAGCACCACGGTGGCTGAGGGTGCAGAGCTATGGGTTGAGCAGAGATGAGAAGGATCGGAGGAGGGTGATTGGAGTTAACTGCTAGGAATGGAGAGTGAAGGCTGAGATCTAGAAGTTGGTAGCTGTCTGCCAAGGTCTGGGAGTGGGCTAATGAGAGAAGCGAGCTGTGAGCTGTGGTCTCCGGGCTGGGAACAGGGACTTGGGGCTGCTCCAACAAGCCAGGACACAGAGAGTCTTGGCAACTGACCATCGAGGGACCTGGTGTTCTGATGACCATTTGCAGAGAAATGAATGAATGGAGGGTTGCTGGCAGGTCCAGACCAAAGGTGACAGAGTGGCCAGGGTGTCTACAGGTTGACACAGGGTCGGTGTTGACTGCCCTGTCCTGTTGGTCCAGAGAAGGCACCTAGATCTGAGTTGAACTACAGGGAGCTGGTAGCAGAGACAACAGACCATCCTGGCCTCAGCTTATGGATGGGGAGGGCTGGCTCTGAGTCGGGGCCTGGCTGCTTAGCTGGCTGCAGAATTCAGAAACCAGAAGCTCCTCTAAAGGGCCTAGTTCTGTCTGGGCTGTGGGATTCACGGGGTGATATCAACAAGGTTTGATCTAGCAGAGAGGCCTGGACAAGGGCTCCAGGGACCTAGGGAACAGGAACATAATTGGAAATAGGAGCTGGGAACTGGGAGCCGGGAGGTACTGTCAGAGCACAGGTCTGACAGTAGCAGGACTGAGTTTCACCCTGAGCTGGGCCAGCAGTGCTGTTCAAATACCAAAATGGAGGATGACATGGGCCAGAGGCTGCAGAGAGGTCAGTGGGGCACTGAGCAGGCAGGCCCACACAATGACAGCAGCGTTACTCAGGAGCCCAGGCACAGATGATAGGAGGCCACCTGAGGCTCCCAGGAAGAGGAAGAAAAAAATGTAGGAAACAGAAGGCAGAAGCAAGGCTGGCAGTCACTGGCCTGAAACTGGCCCTAGACAGCATTTGCTGGAGCAAATGGGTGAAGTGCAGGATGCCTGGAGCCTTGGAAGGCAAAGAACACTGTGGCAAGGGAGTTGGGTGAAGAATTCTGCACCACAGGGTAGACAGGGAGAAAGAGAGGCTACTATATCCAGTCTGGGGTGGGACGGGTAAGCAACTGTTGCTGGCTCAGAGCCTAAAGACAAAATAGCCAGAGAAGGGCCTGCATTCTAGTTCAGGTGGAAAGGCCTTGCACCCAAAGAAGGTGGAAAAAAGGCTGGGAGACCCCAGAACAGAGCTGATGGTGAGTGGCAGTTGGACAGTGATGAGATACAAGGTCACAACTGGAGCAGGTCCTGGTAGTGCATCAGATCAGAGATAACCAAATCTGGGTGCAAGGTGGGAGCCACTGGGGTGACCAGATATGTTTCCAGGAGTGTGCTCTCTGACCTGGGAGCACACAGTTTGGACAGGTGGTCAAGAGGCTGACTGTACCTGCACATGAATAACAGGGACCTGTTCTCTTGCAGCATCCCCCACCACCCCATCAGTCTTCCCTCTGGTCCCTGGCTGTGGGAGCAAATCTAGCTCCACCGTGACCCTGGGCTGCCTGGTCGCCAACTACTTCCCAGAGCCTGTGACAGTGTCCTGGAACTCAGGTGGCCCTGCACACAACTTCCCGGCCGTCCTGCAGTCGTCTGGCCTCTACTCCCGCAGCAGCGCTGTGACTGTGCCCGCCAGCAGCTGGCCCAGCCAGACCCACACCTGCAGTGTCAGCCACCCTGCCACCAAGTACAAGGTGGACAAGCAAATAGGTAGGCCACAGGCAGGGTGGGAAGGGGCCTGGATGTGCTGAATGGAGTAGAATTCCCACTTATTTTTTCCACCTAAAGGGCTTACTTGCCCTTTCATCAGGTCCCCCAGGGGGAATCTTAATGGGGCTCTAGTTCAGCCCAGGGTAGATGCAGTAGATGGCCATAACCATTTCCCCGGGCCCAGAGGCGGAGGGCAGGTCTCAGAGCTGCCAGCTACCACAAGGAAGCACCTGACTTACCCTCATTCCAGAGATCACGAAAAATTCTCCCTTCTGAGTTATGTCTCCAGCTCTCCTCTCTATCAATGTAACTCTATCTTCTTCTCTTTCTGCAGTGCCACCCTCCACACCCCCACCCACCGTTTGCACAGGTAAAGTGAGCAATTTTTAATTTTCACTCTTTCAATGCTGAACCTGTTCCAGTGAGAGGGCATCTGTCCCCAGGACCCATCACCTGATCCTTGACTCTGCCTTTCACCATAGGTGACATCTCGGGAGGCCCCTCCGTCTTTATCTTCCCACCCAAGACCAAGGACACACTCATGATCTCCCGAACCCCTGAGGTGACATGTCTGGTGGTGGACTTGAGCCAGGAGGACCCTGATGTTCAGATCAGCTGGTTTGTGGATGGAGTAGAGAAGACCACGGCCAGGACTGGTCAACGCGAGCTTCTTCGCTTCAACAGCACCTACCGCATGGTCAGCGTGCTCCCCATCCAGCACAAAGACTGGCTCCAGGGCAAGGTGTTCAAGTGCAAGGTCAGCAATAATGCCCTCCCATCACCAGTTGAGAGGACGATCTCCAAGGCCAAAGGTAAAGCAGCAAGTGGGTGCAGGGGAGTGAGCAACTACACCTTGTGTACTGGGATTAATTTTCCAATGCTGCTGTCTCCACAGGGCAGCTCAAGGAGCCCCAGGTGTATCCCTTACCCCCACACCAGGATGAGCTAGCCAAGAACAAGGTCAGCATCACATGCCTGGTGAATGGATTCTATCCTAGTGACATCGTCGTTGAGTGGAAGAGCAACAATAAGCCAGAGCCAGAGGACAGCTACCAGAACACCCCACCCCAGATCATGCCTGATGGGTCCTTCTTCTTGTACAGCAAGCTCTCTGTGCCCAAGGACAAATGGCAACAAGGAAGCAAATACACCTGCATGGTGATGCATGAGGCGCTGCACAACCACTACACAGAGAAGTCGATTTCCCGGTCTCCCGGTAAATGAGTGCTGGCCGGTATGCCCAGCGAGCCTCTTCCCATTGCTCTTGCAGAAGCCCCTGAACACACATGAAG